ATCTCTCTCTCTCTCTCTCTCTCTCTCTCTCTCTCTCTCTCTCTCTCTCTGCATAAATATATGTGTTATATTTATCTCCCCCTCTCCGCCTTTAACTCGCTCACTCTCTATAACTTTACCTCTTATTTCTCTCTCTCCACCTATACATGTTATCTTTCTCAAACTCTTTCTCTTTCTCGTTCACTCTCAGGGTATTTATTTACTGTCCGTGATTTATTTGAGGGAAAAACACTCACCTTTGCCAGTGATGTCATAATGGCCGGCCCGACCTCTGAAGGCTGCGGGTTTTCCATGTCGCACGTGCGAGTCTGCGGGCCCCGAATAGACTGAGGTAGGTCCAGCATGAGCGCCTCGTGGACCGCTCGCACTGCGTCGATCATCATGGCAGAACCGGTCTGAAAGAAAAGAGAGAAAACAAAATTAACCAAAATCAATAATAAACGAAAGTACAAGATATTCATAGTTGAAATTTATTTTTAAAAACATCCAGGACTTACAACACTATTGGGAAAAACAAACAAGATACAAAGGGCGAAACAGTTAAAGCTTGACAGCAGATTAGAATATTATTATTATGTGATGTGTATAATAACGTAAGTGGTCGTACGCACCAAAACCAGTTCAGCTGAGCAGTTGCTGAGCCGTGTTAAATCTTAGTAACATTATTTAAACGCCGTTCGCACCAAAAGCAGTAGCTACGCAGTAGTGCACTTCTAGCAGTGAGCAGTAAAATATATCCCCGCATTTACTACCGCTCAATGCTAGCAGTGATTTTGTCATTTCTAAAATCAGCACAACCGAAATTTCCCGCCAAACCTTGCCAAGAAATCTCGATCAGCTCAAACAGCAGGAAATGGCTTTTACATTCTCCTCTTGAAAGCCTGTACAACAAAATAGAAACAAAACACACGTTGTCCAGAATGGTAGAGAATATTTCTGGGCTCATTCTAAAATATGACTTAAAGCGTTCTTCGTCTCCCTTTAAGTCAAGAAAAAGTGATGAAATTCTCCGTAAGTGTCTCTTTTGCCATTTATGGGATGAATCCAGTATTCTTTCTCTCCATCAAATACACGAGAAATAAAACCGTGTCAATAGTAATTAAGACGTGTCCATCAAATGCATCAAACATATTTTACGGACCGCTATGTTATGAACTGTCTCCGATACAAGAAGCGAGCTAGCAGAGAGAGCTAGTACACACTGCTTTTATACTGCTTTTGGTGAGAACATGTAAGCTGATACTGAGCAATGCACTAGCAGCCAGCGAGCTGACAGCTACTGGACAGCTTGCCAAAACAGCTGTAGGTGCGGACACTCGAGCCTTCTGCTGGAACTGCTCATATCAGCTCGGCTCAGCTACTGGGCAGCTACTGCTTTTGGTGCGGACAAACCCTAACAATATCTAACATCGTAACTTAGGCGTAGTTATGTAATCCAGATAATGTTGTACGCTTAAAAAGTTAAAATGTTTCACACTCCAAGCGCTGAAATACAGATCATTTCCAGGTAGGCTGCTTTGTGTCAGCCAATAAAGGTCGACCTGGGTTGAATAGGATCCAACATTGATAAATTAATAATTTGACCATAGGGAGATCCAGCTACGAATACCATCTTTTACATTGCATGATACTCACTAATTCTTTAATTTCTTTTGAAAGGTTATTTTTATTGCTACAGTTGTCCATCTACTGAATAACTAGGATATAGTCGAAACTCAGCATTGATTGGTGTTTTCAAAAGGAAAGAAAAACATAACTATTTCGTATTCAGACTAGTGTGAAAACAATTCTTGCTCTTCAGATGAGATGCTTTTTCCGAAACTGACACCTACAATCATGATTTACCATATTTTTTTCAGCTCAGATGCTCTAACGTCCTCCTCCTCCCCTCCCCATGCACATATATCATTATATTATTCTATTTTTTTTCGCTCATCCATCGGTTCAAGTTCTTTTTGTTTTTCTTAGTTTACTTTTGTCTATTGACATCGATTTTTCCAATGATAGCAACGTCTTGGAGACCTTTATGCCGATTTAAGTGAAAAAAATACTGAGCACGAAAAACCCCGAGCACCTTCAATGGGAAGAGTCCAGGATATTCATCCTTGTACTGCTGCCACAGTTGTTCCCACTTCCGATAGGTGTCGCTGGTGTTGTCCACAAAGCGGAAAGCGCTGATCTCCACGCCGCCATACAGGAATTGGGAGAAGAAGTCTCTGCTCAGGTCTAAGTCCATCGCGTCCTAGGTTAGAAATAAATAAATAGTTTGATTTTTAAAACATGTTTTTTCCTGTTGAAAGCAGACGTGGGGATCGCAGAGGTGAAACGTTTCCATTTTTTCATTTAGTAATATAAAGCTTAGGGGTGGGGAAATGAAATTGTTTAATTCTTAAATATTCTATCTTTTGGGGTCTCAAAATTCGTTGAACATCACCCTAAGCTGCTGGTGTTTGTACTTTATATTATATAAGAGGGCATTTGTATCTAACAATCTTGATTTTAATTAATTTCAGATGGCTAGTTTTAGTCATCTATCCCCAATAAAACAGATTTTGTTTCGACTTGAACTTCACCGACGATTTTCTTCTTGGCACCCTAGACCACCCTTCCTCCTCAACCCACCCCACCCCCAACAAACAAACAAACAATAAAAAACAAAACAACAACAACAAAGGAAAACAAAAAAAACCTGACCTACTTTTCAGAGTACTTAATACAACTTAAGTTAAAGGAAAAACGTAAAGACTTAAAAGAGTAGATTTTATACACAATAAAATATTATGGTATCTCTCTCTATGACCAAGAAAGCCAAATGTATGTATTACCTACAAAGGAGGGTAACGCATATAGTGGTAAATTTATTCTGGAGGGCGGGTACTGCTGAGCTTAAAATGAGCAGTACTTAAAAGGTAAATGTGCTGACTAGGGTATTTTAACGCTGCTGGTGGAAAGGGGGCTGTTTCAAGCTTTTTATAGACGTTTACAGAACCGATTCCAGTTTTACAAATGTTTGTAATACATAACTTGTAGGTACTATTTTAACCGCGTCTCTTTCTTTTAGTTATAACGTTTTGCTATTCAGCTCTCATTTAATTTCTTTTAGATACGATAATGCATACTGACATTCTTTAACCTATCCAGATTTATATACAGACATGCATTGTATATTCATGCATACATACGAGGTGTGTCTCAGAATAAAGTTTCTCTGTCATGCTGTCCTCACATATAATTATAAATCACCATGTATTTGATATCAAAGGAAAGCTTATTCTAATACCTGTTCAACGTAGGAACCATCAAGTTCAAGACATTTCTTCTTTGGATGTTCCGGTCAAAGACAGTGGTCAGTGATCGTTTGTCCAAGGCCCCGAGTGCTTTTCTCATCGCCTCTTGAATCTGGTCCTCGTCCTCAAATCGCCGACCTCGCAGCATTTTTTTCACTTTGGGGAAGAGGTTGAAGTTGCATGGGGCGAAATCAGGCGAATTGGGCGGGTGCACCATTGATTCCCACGAGTAGCCCTCAAAAAGCTCGTTCACAACTCTGGACTTGTGAACAGGCGCGTTTTCATGATGCATGACGACGCCTTCTTCAAGCAAAGCGGGTCTTTTTTTCTGGATCGCAGGTCTCATTGTTTTTGAGGACGAACCTGTAGTACTCACCATTGACAGTTACGCCAGGTGTGACTAGCCAGCTCAGTATGAAGCCACTCATGTCGAAAACCCCCCAATGTGCATCACTTTTCTCTCCCCATGTTTTCTGTGTGCGCTTCATCTTTCATCTCCCACCTTCAACCTCCCTGATCCATTTCCCTACTGTTTGAATTGATGGGGCATTATTTATTCCCTGTTAGTTTGTATAGATCACCATGGGTTTCAACTGTAGACTTGCTGAGAAGAGTTGAAAATTTGATTACAACTCAGACATCGTAGCATGAGAAGGTTGTACCAATGTTTTGCTCAGCCATTTTCCTCGGATTTGCCTCGGACAAAGTACAGAAGTACACCATACTTGACACGTCACAGCTCTATGACCCGTTCACCAATGCATTTGCAATTTGGCGTTGAGATTTCTTAGTCATGGTGTCATGACCTCACAAACTTTAGTGGCTGTTGGTTGCGTACTTTGAGTTTTATTGAGGAGGGAAACCTTATTCTGAGACAGACCGCGTACATTCACACACACACA